ATTCATTTAATGTATGTCAATAAGTTTGGTATCAAACTGTAGATTATAATTCATTAATGTACGTCAATAAGTTTGGTATCAAACTGTAGATTATAATTTATTAATGTACGTCAATAAGTTTGGTATCAAACTGTAGATTATAATTCATTAATGTACGTCAATAAGTTTGGTATCAAACTGTAGATTATAATTTATTAATGTACGTCAGTAAGTTTGGTATCAAACTGTAGATTATAATTCATTAATGTATGTCAATAAGTTTGGTATCAAACTGTAGATTATAATTCATTAATGTATGTCAATAAGTTTGGTATCAAACTGTAGATTATAATTCATTAATGTATGTCAATAAGTTTGGTATCAAACTGTAGATTATAATTCATTAATGTATGTCAATAAGTTTTGTATCAAACCGTATATTATAATTCAAATTTTAGTATTATACATTAGTTCATTTCTTAATTTAAAAGTAAATATTAAGAGAACACACTTAAATATTGATTTTGTGTGTGGTATGTTGAATGCAGCACTGGTTCAAATTTGATGTTTTTGATGTCCAAATACAAAGTCTATAGTTTCTGACAAATTAGAAACTCAAATTACCAATATTAAGAAGCTAGCATATAAAATAAGACCACCTATATTTTCTATTTGTTCTTTTATACCTATCACCCCACTCCTCCTTCTAAGCGTGTACCTAGTTCCTAAAACCCATTTCTTTTCTTGAATGCAAGCAAGATAGTAGGGATGGCATTTGCATCGTCTTACATAATAGCACAGGTACACAGTGTAGTAGAATGCTTACAGACAAAAATAGGAAAAATTAAACTTAATATTGATTGAATAATTATATATATATATACGTTAATTCTTTCCTGTGCTATGATGTAGGGATGATGCAAATGCCATCCCTACTATCTTGTTTGCATTGTTTTTGAAGGATTGATATTAGCCATCCCTACATTTACTTCTTCTTTTGAGAAGTTTTTTTCTTTATTTGATTTGTGAATGCAGTGTTTCAATAAAGGTAGGAAGGTTGTATTTATAACCAAGTTCTCAATGCAATGAGATTCCAACTATAATATTTATTGAATAGAGTTGTTTAACAACGGGTAAAAGCTTGGAATGGTCTATTCTTTCATTGGGGGTGTGTCTGTGGGCTAGACTAGTTTCTGAGAATTCCACTCCTCATCAGTGACCCTGGACACTACCACCGAATGAAACTTCAGACCAAACAAAGCCTTTATAGTAGTGAGGTATCGAATTGATGTATTTAAGTGTTTTACACTCACAAAGAAGAAACCTATCATTCTATAGGTATTTGAAGAACTTGTA